CCTCTTGTTTCTTTAATTTTTTTTCAATTTAATCCTACTACTTTTTCCATTTTAATGTTTTTTATTTACTTGTTTCCATTCTTTTTTCTTAAATTAATAAATTACATTCTGTTATGATTATGTGGTTAGGTTAATCATATTCATGCTAATCACGTGCGCATAAATTAAAATGGCGTCAAACCACAAACCCACGTGGTGTCTGCAGCTGGATTTTGACTTCCATTTTGTTCTCTCCTCGCTTCTTTATTAATCCACCTTTGTAGTCCTTGACCCAAGCACAAAGGAATGATGTAAAAGCCAACTTGAGCGGTTCTCTGGTTTAAAAGATTATCGTGGCGATAGAAGAAGTTGAAAGAAGAAAAAGTCTGAAGAATTTTGCAGAAATTTGAATTTTGGCCTATTCTCCAAAAAAGCTCCTGCTACGTTAGAGTCCACTTTAAAGGTACCAGGAGAATCGCTCAGTGAAGGAGAGCTCATCTAAGCCATTTATAAGGCTGTACAACGTAAGATAAAAGAGTTATGAGTGTTTGAAAATCATAAAAACGGCAGCCATCTTGAAAAACCAACCTCAATCCTACAAATAGGCTATCACCTATATACCTTAAGGTTACTTTTAAATGCGGGTACTATTAATTGCGAATTTTGCGTTTGGGTTAAAAATCGCAATTATTAATAATGACGTCATGATGCCATATAACTATTAGTAATAATTACTTAATCGCAATTTTTAATACCAGCAAAATCTACCTTGTGCTAAAATCGCAAAATTTAGTACCCGCAATTAAAAGTCACTCTAAGGTAATAAATTTTACACATTCATAGATTGAAAGGTGGGATTTATTTTTTTAAATTAATTATTGGGGCGAGCCTGAGCTCGCCCCACTCTAGCTAAACTCTCAGTCACGCCCCGTCTGTCTGTCTGTCCACGTACGTCACCCCTATTTATGCGTAGATCTAATACGGTAGGTAGATACTATGCATTACCAATGCAATTTTCAATTTTTCATGGATCCAAGTGGGAGTGGTCACAGTAAAATAAAAATGGCAACCAACACACTGGAAGAATTCATGAGCTTTCTAGCAGCAATATAAGGCAGATACACCGTCCAAAGACTTCTCCAGCAGCTATAGAAGGTTTTAAATTCAACTAATAACCTATGAAGCTCGTCTTTATTGATGCAATTGCTATTAAAACTGAAAGTCAATCAAGCTTTTTCTCAGTCATCTTAATATTGGATAATATTATATCTAAAGCTAAGTAAAGCATCTTTA